TACAGGTACTATACAGATACTGTAGATACACAGATACTGTAGAGATACTATACAGATACACAGATACTGTACACTGGTGAGGTGGTTGGGACTGTGCAGGTGTTCACAGGATGCACCTGTCATCTACACTTGTGATTCAACGTCAACACCTGGTCTTCCCTGACACACAAATGCAGCCCGAGAAGGAGGCATATCAGCATGTTAAAGCTTACAATGAAACCTAACCAAACCTTAACCTAAAGTAACCTTAAATTCGAGTTCAAGTATGTTTATTGAGACAAGAAAAAAATACATCTCAAAGGGATAGAATAGCTTAGGCTATTTCTAAACCCAAGAAACCTTAAATTGTTTCAATGTGGTCCTCGGTCTTTATATCCAGCTTAATGCTACATTTCAGGTCCTCCCTCACAAATATCGTTATTACTCCACCACTTTTAGGTTCTACGTGGAAAAGTTTGTAGCCCCTAATATTATATTCAGCTAAAAGGTTTCTTAAAAGTCACCCTACTCCGTACACACACACAGCGCTCCAAGTTCATCAATCTTATTTCACACACCCCAATATTTTGTGTAATAGAACCTGCATCCCGTCAGTCGACGAGCTTCAGTCATCAGCTTGTCGATTTCGGCTTGAGTCAGTGACAAGCTCGAAGAAGATTTAAGCAGAAATCACAGCATGGGCCATCACTGTGTCTAATTCAGTTATTCATACGGCAGAGAACACAAACTCGACCGCACAGGAACTCAACCTGTTCTCAGGTAGGAAATCCGCTCAGGGTAATGGATTCAGAATGACTATATAATTAGTGTTATTATCTACTCTCTATCCATGGTTCGGTTAGGTTAAATTAAACAGATGTGACTAAAGGTAATAAAAAAATTAATAATCAACGTTGTGGAAACCTGGGTGAAAACAGTAATTAATGTGTACAGTGTTGTGGACTTCAACATAGGATGTAAAAATAGGAAATCCGATAACAGAAGAGTTCCTGGATATAAACTATACTCCAAATAATCAGTCATAAACTATACTCCAAATAATCAGTCATAAACTATACTCCAAATAATCAGTCATAAACTATACTCCAAATAATCAGTCATAAACTATACTCCAAATAATCAGTCATAAACTATACTCCAAATAATCAGTCATAAACTATACTCCAAATAATCAGCCATTATAACAACTTGGTTTCACGTTATTGGGGACAAAAAGCTTATTATGCTTGAGAAAATCTTGGAGCAGGACTGGCCCTCCCTTCCCCCAAGGCTAACAACAAACATCCCAGAATGCAATCCACAACAGTCACCTAACTCACAGATACTTCTGTGTAAGTATCGCCTGCAAGGCGAACAGAGACGTCGGGTGTAAGGATACATAACCAAACATTCCGTCCTGTCCTGGAATCGAACTCGAGACCTTTCGGTTGTGACCCGATTGAGCTGACTACCGTATAGAGCAGATACACTGTTGGGGTGCTTGCTCGCGTCATCATGTTTACGGTATTTGCTACTTCCATCATGGTTAATAATATCTTGGAGACAAAGCCAAGAAATCTCCACTACCGTAAACGAGACGCAGTTGTGCTGTACTCTGGTGTCAGACACACGGTATATTATTAGATTAATCAAGTACATATATCATTAATGCTGATGTCAGGAACTTGAGCATCATGCTAAAATATATAAAGGCCAAACCATCATGATGTAAAGAAACCGGCATTAAAACGTGTGTTGACATAGTCAATACATTCAAATTATTTTTGTTTCGAAAACTAAACAAATTATCTTCATATTTGTATAAAGGAGAATATTTTTGCCTGAGAAAATAGCTCTCATGACGGTTCGTCTTGTTAAAATAGAAAAAGAGACAGAACATGATAATACAGTAATTAAATAATTTATGTACAATAAGCCAATATTATTGGTTTGCTTTTTATTTTCAGATTTTGCTTTTGAATGTAAGATTTTGCAACCCGTCCTCTTAAAATTACGTGGCTTTTCGCTCTTGTGCCCGTATGACCAAAAAATGGACGCAATTTGATAGACTTTGATGGTAATGAAATATATATAATGTTTGCTGCGTCTGCACTCAGTACAGCAAGAGACCGGAAATATGATTGTGGTGGAAGAATCATCACCAAAGCTGGCCGGGATGAGCCAACACGATCACTTGCAAGTATTGTCTAGCCTCATGGGGTCAGGGACGAGTGAAACTTGAGAAAGTCACACCGTGAGATGACCGCTTATAAGTGTAAGCGGTCATCTTGGGCGTCTCTCCTCAACAAAGATGCAGATTCCATCAACAGCTTCAAGGGTAGATATGAAAAATCTCAAGAGGTGATACCCAACCTCTGCAAGCACAGCTCACGCCACCCGATTTCCCCTTTGGCGCATGAGAATAACAAAAAATATTAGTTGTGTCGTAAGTGCTGAACTCTGATTTAAACAAGATGTACCAAAGTATTCTTCGTACTGTATGCCATGCTGTTTAAAATAGGAGATTACGTAAGACATGCAATATCTTGAGTAATAATGAACTTCGTACAAGATTTCCTGAAGATTATAAAATTTATATGAAGATTACGTGTATATATTTGTAGAATATAACCCGTTCGCTTTTTTGCCCGTCGCATTTTGACGTGCCACAAAATTATGTACAAGAAAATGTTTGCGACCCACGAAAGTGACATGTCCCGTTTTGTGTTCGTAGGTTCTATAATTGGTTAGGTTAGGGCACTTTTTTTGCGACAGTTTCTTGACGTTGGGAACGTTCGTGAGAACGGCAAGAACTGCCGACGAGCTGTTGAATGAAACACTGCATGGTCAAGGACTATAAGCTCTATTGAGCGGCAAAGTTAATCATATACATATATGTGTGTGTGTACTCACCTAGTTGTGCTTACGGGGGGGGGGGGTTGAGCTTCAGCTTTTTGGTCCCGCTCCTCAACTGGTGTGCGTTCCTGAGCCTATCATATTTACATTTGAAACTGAGTATGAAGTCTGCCTCCACCACATCACTTCAAAGTTGGTTTAGTTCATTTATTATGCACCCCATACCCATTTTGCGGGCGGTAGTGTGCATCCAATTTGTTAACTACTGACACTGAAAACAAAAAAATCTTTCTAGTGTCCCTGTGGCTCATTTGGGTACAAAGTGTTCCCCCGTGTCCTCTTGTTTATGTGCTAAATAGTTTGTCTATCTACCCTGTCAATTCCTCAAATCATTTTATTGGTGGTAATCGTGTCTTCCCCAATTCTTGTCTCCCAGTGTCGTGAGGTTTAATTCCAGTATTATTTCCTCGTAGCTTTTACCTCCCAACTTAATATGGACTCTACGCTGGAGTCTCAGTACTCAAGGATTGGTTTGACATATGAAGTATACAAAGTTTTGAATGATTCCTTATACGTTTCTAAAAGCAGTTCTTATGTTTGTCAGCCACGGATATGCCGCTGCTGATATTTTGATGTGGGCTTCAGGGGAGGCAGTTGTGTGTAATTATCCAAGTGAAGTTAAAGGATGAGAGCTACGCTCGTGGTGTCCAGTCTTCCGAGTACTGTGTATTGTATAACGTTTTGAAACTACTGACAATTTTGGCTTCCACCACCTTCTCACTTAGCTTCTTCCAGCCGTCTACTACTCTGCAAAAGAAAACTTTCTAATATTTTTTCGGCACCTTTGTTTCCTTAGTTTAAACCTGTGTCCTCTTCGTATTAGTTATGTTAAATGTTTCAGGAATTCTTCTGTCTATTTGGCCGATCCCCGTTAGCATTTTGTAAGTGGTGATCATATCACCCCTTTTTCTTCTATATTCTAGTTTTGGCATGTTAACGCCTCTAGTCTCTCCTCGTAAATCTTGTTTTTTAGTTCCAGAAGCACAAAGAAACTGTTAAAGGTGCAATGGCAGCATGCCGTTGCACCTTTCCTTTCTTTATGTGCTTCATGAGATTTCGGAGGGAGTTTATGTGCGCGCTGTAAATCATAATACATTACGCTAAAGAATGACAAGTTCAAATGTTTATTGCAATCAATCCAACTGTCAGAATTGCTTCTAGCCAATCATTCTGAATAAGTTGGAACTCTGCATGGGGCACCGTATACAAGAATGGCGTTGGTTCAACGTCGAACTAACGTCAACGTTGAATTAGCAGATATCTATGATCGTCGCCGAACTAAACGTCACTTAGAAATTGTGCCCAAAGAGTTGCAGAATGATGATGTTTGGACATTTGGGTATAATCCCCAATTCGTAGGCTAGAATAGAAATAGTCTAGCAAGATAACACGCTAGCATAATAATTCAGACTATTATTCAACTTTCGCATTTAAAAGCATTGCTTTTCAAGAAGTTTCAATTTGTCAAAACATTTATATCCAAGTTAAGCAATTAACCTTTTATTACCGTCTGGCATTTACGACGAATCCAATAGTTGGCAACAGAAGTGTTGCCATATATGGTGAGGCAGAGGGTGGGGTTCACCCACGTAGCTAGCAATCTAAAAGGCTTCCGTTTAAGTGTTTTATCCAAACGACTGTCCTTTTTCTGCAAATCAATTCATATTGGTGTTTCCAAGGTGTTTTGCAGTGGTATATCAACATACTTTCAATATAGTTGCCAGAGCACTACAACCTACACTTGGCAAGACACCAGTGACCTATTCATGTGGAATGTGGACGGCCTGTCCTCTATTTACCTTTTAAGTTGGTGAAGCCACATCCTAACTGCATATTTATTAAAGATTTGAAATGTGTAGCTTTTTAATCAATTTCGAACTTTTTTACTAAGAGACATTAAACCAATGTCCAAGATAGCCTATACACATTCAATATACACTATTTTCCAATGGGTTAGTCATGATAAACATTAGTTTCCTCCGTAGTCTTGTATCAGTATGATTGTTTCCCCAATTTAGAGCTATACAAATTAAAAACACACATTTTTAGATAAACTATTTGACGATCATTACTATTGAATGAAGGATTGATACAAAAATCATAAATATAAAATATAGCTTTATTTTACTTACACCAACAAGTGATATAAGCGATTCTTTGGTGTCATATGTTAAGTAATTTCCTTTTGTACAAAACAAGTTCGATTCATTCTTATACAACGATTATTTACAAATGGAACAAAAGATTTCTGCAACATGAATGGATGAAACTAAATGAAAACTAGCAAAGCAAACACTACTACTCAGATTTATGCCTGTTTGATCACTCTTGGTACAAGAGCTATAGCAATGCAACAACTAATGACGTTGAAGCACAACGTGTAAATCTAAACTATATACAATAAATAAATGGAACCAAATAAACTTGGGAGGTGGGATGGGGGGCGCTTGGTTGTGCGCCTCTTGCACATGACATCACGTCCACCAGCTGAAGGCGCCTGCTATCTCCAGCAGGTGACATCATCTCACAGGTATCGCCGCCCGCCCCAGCTGGCTAACATGGCTTACACATCACCTCGCTTGACGATTTCCACTTTTATAAAGAAATACAATCGAGTTACAAGAACGTCTAGTATTTAGAATGTAAATCAGTGTTCTGTGTAAAAGGCACAAGGCAAGCTAGGCGATTCTCACGAGAAACTTCACCTTGTGAAACACAAAAAAATAGAGGTATATCAAATAATAAATCTCCATTTCCTTCACGCTCCTCATATTCAGGAGCTGTTTGCTAGATTGATATCCTTTGTTTTATGGTCCTGTCGGTAATATTAGGTCACAGTACATGCTAATATGATAATCCTTGCACGCATAATGTTTACTGTCAGAATAAACTTACAATGGAAGAACTTCAGAGAGAATTTCCTTGGCACTTTCCGTCAGAGAGGATGGGAACTGAATGTCAAAATGGACGATAATGTCGCCTTTCCGGGTCGGGTCCTTAGGGTAGGGTAAGCCATATCCTTGCAGACGTTTTGTGGTCTGTGGTCGCACCACCTCGCTGCTGAAGTTTAAGGTGACCCTCTGACCGTCCAGGGTGGGCACAGCCACCCGAGTACCACACAAAGCGTCGCGTAGAGTCAGTTTTGCCGTGTACTGAAGGTTGGCACCGTCACGCTTGAAGTGCTGATGTGGCTTATCTCTGATGACGAAGATAATATCTGCAGGAATTTTACCAGGTGACTGGTCGCCCTCGCGCTCGAAGGTGATCTTCGTGCCTTCCTTCCAACCAGGTTTCACGTCGATTGTCAAAATCTTCTCTTCTCGCCGGGTTGTTCGTCCGTCACTTGCTGCGACATTGCGAGTAATTTTCATCTTCTTGGTAACGCCCTTCGCAACTTCCTCTAACGTGACGTACAGGTCCCTGGTCACAGCTGGGTCCTGGTTACGAGTCTTGCCTCCTTGTGGCCTAGTTGCATCGTGAGGGTTAAAGCTAAAGGCTCGTCGTGTGCCACCACCCATGCGATGGGGGCCACCACCCATCATAGTGATGAATGGGTCGTCTTCAACATCCATTTCTTCAAAGACACCATGTGGACCGTGACCATCCACACCCATATTGAAGAAATTGGCGAATGGATCATTGGTTCCGAAAAACTGTTGGAAGGTTGCTCGCGGGTCGCCGGAGAAGGTGTATGTGAAGTGAGTGCCGTCACCACCACCACCACCGCCAGGTATTCCTCCCTTAAGGCCTTCCTCGCCGTACTGATCGTATATGTCCCGCTTCTTCTTATCACTCAGAACCTCATAAGCTTCTGCTACAGATTTAAATTTCTCCTCTGCATCAGAAGACTTGTTTTTGTCCGGGTGGTACTTAAGTGCCATTTTTCTGTAGGCTTTCTTGATATCTTCATCGGAGGCACCCTTGGAGATCCCAAGGATCTTGTAATAATCCTTGCCCATGGTTGCTTCCTATGTGGGAATCAACAAGTCGAGATGAAACACGTATGGGCAACTGTTTGGGCTATACCTCTCTCGTCTTGCACGTACTCTCTCTCGCTTACAACTGAAGCTAGCCGGTGAGAGCCTACGAAGTTATACACACTGTTGCGGGTTCCTGAACGAACTGGTATCGCTAGAATGCTTGAGAATGTTCGTTCACAGTCCAATATTGCTGATATATTTTTAATTAGTAATAGATTACCTTCTTTTGCTTTGAGATTATGTATATTTAATAGGCAATAAGCTACTATCAGTCAAACGAAAAGGTGTATTCATTAAATTTAAATATTATAAGGTAATATATTTTGTTTTCAACACCTAAGTTTACCCTCATTTTATCTGGAATGTTTGTCTCAGGTGTGGGCGGAGTTATACTACATATCAGCACCAGCGGAGCGTCTGATTGGCTGGTGTGTATGGCGGTCATTTTAAAAATATTTCACAGTGGTATTGGTGAAAATTGTTTTATATATTTATATGTGTTAGGCCTAAGATAGCGTATATTAGTTGTATAATCACTTACATAAGTTACGTATATATATATATATATATATATATATATATATATATATATATATATATATATATATATATATATATATATATATATATATATATGCGGAAAATCCACAGAGAAATATGAAATGAGGTGAACGTTTCGGCTTTGTTAAAGCCTTTGTCAACACCAGACTGACTCATTTCAGACTTTTGAGTCAGTCTGGTGTTGACAAAGGCTTTAACAAAGCCGAAACGTTCACCTCATTTCATATTTCTCTGTGGATTCTCTCTCTCTCTCTCTCTCTCTCTCTCTCTCTCTCTCTCTCTCTCTCTCTCTCTCTCTCTCTCTCTCTCTCTCTCTCTCTCTCTCTCTATATATATATATATATATATATATATATATATATATATATATATATATATATATATATAATATATATACCCATTTGGTGGTGCAGTCTGTAAAGCTGGGATCATGTACCCCTGCCTGTTGACCTAGGTACTCAAGTAGGATTTCCTTCACCAGGTTGTCAGACACCAGTGAAGAGGACAGGAACGCTAGTACAACAATTTGTGTTGCACCGAGGCCCCCGAGTCTGACAGGAAGGGAGGCCTGTTTCCACTGTGAGTCGCTGAGAGAAAGGTTGAGAACTTATATATATAATATATATATATATATATATATATATATATATATATATATATATATATATATAATATAGACTACTACTCTTTTTCCACTACTGCCACAGGATTGGTATGGGGTGCATAATAAATGAACTAAATAAAAACTTATCATTTGGACTAATTCAGTAATACAAAACGTGATTCTTTTTTTGGTCAAACCGTATAAATAGCTTTATTAACTATGCGTTTAAGTAACTATTCTGTCCCTGTTGAGGCCACATATAATGTGATATTGTGACCCTTAAGGTTACCTAAATTCAGGCATATATATATACCTGAATAATAGCAGGTCGTGGTAATTAGTAACTGTTCAGTATAAACCAGCATAATATAGACGATTTGCTCATGCTTTATTTATACATAAATTAAAAACAAAAAAAGTAATTCATATTTAAATATAAAGCAACCTGGCATCCTTTGTCTGCATTTTTTTTTAAGGGAGCGGGTCGAGCACCCACTTGCCAGTACTGGCCATGGTAGCTAAATCGGTCATATATTTTGATGTCAAAGCAACTTCCAATATAAGCAATCTTGGTACATATTATAGCGTGTATTAAACGGTGATTGATTTCTAACATTTTTAACTGCGCAACAGTATTTAGTCAGTGACAGATCCAGCGCCCCAGGCATCATCTGGCCTGCGCGATCAAATTAAGTTCTATTTTGTGTAAAACCAGACAAATATTAAAAATGCTCACAATTAAACACTGAAGAGAGAAAAGGATTTAGTTGTGTTCTTTATAACACTAACAAATATTGTTATGGTACACAGAAGTAAAACTGCGTTGAAAAAGTTCATTATCTGTCATTGTCAGATGTGGCAGCGTCGCGATAGTTAGTAAACATGTCGACACAGACACAATGGCACTGGAATCTGCTGCCTAGTGTAATTTTAATCGAAATTCTTTCTTATCTTCCGCTGTCTGATAGAATTAGTGCATGTTCTACCTGTAAGGCATGGCGTTCTGCCCTTTTTCACCCAAGTTTTTGGCGAAGAATAGAGTTGGTGTTTAAATCTTGTGATTGGAGTGGGCTGGAGAGATCTCGCTTTGTGGCCTCTTGGGGCGTCAGGAAACTACGGTCTTGTATCCTCCATCTGGAAACTGTCAACACCAATTGCCTGGTTGAAGCAGACCATGTTCTTCTGAAGCTCACCAGAAACCCACAGGTTAGTACTGTAGCCATTTCAGTGACGAGTAGTCTCTGACCTTAAATTTTCAGATTCATTAAAGTATTTTCCTCCTCAGTATATGGATTTTTTTTTGTCATTGTGGAACTGTAATTTTGCACTTAAACTGTCTGGGTTTGAAAGCAACACATAAGCACTGAATTTGTTAAATTTCCTAGTGGTTTGGCTGTATTCATTGTTCAGTGTATGTAATGTTTGAAGCACAGGTAAACACACTAAATTCAACTGGTGCGCAAATGAAACTACTTTAGAAAACTAGACAAGTGTATTGAATGGTGTCCCAAGCAAATGTTTGTTTTGAGGCTGGTGCACTCTTTAAGGTTTAGTTATTAGCTACATGGCCTTCCCCGACTTTGGTGCCTTCTTTGATAATTACTTGCTAGGTAAGGATTAATTGTTAGGTTTAAGTGTAATTAAGCTTAAGTTATATGTGGCAGAGTGCATTTGTGGCACATTTACCACCTCCATATTGTTTGTCTTTCATGCAACAGAAAATTACATATGCTGCATCAAAATAAGTAATGATTATAGCATTTGATGCTATGCTTAGCATAGTATCCATGTAATCAACCAAATTCAACATGGTGCTGTTCTGAACAAGTTCAAAAGTAAACCAAACTTGGAAAAAAAAAATAAGTAGTAGTGTCACAGGAAAAATTTGATAGCATAAATCTTTTGGTAATGATTTCTAACCATATTCAAGTTGTGTGGATACGTTGGTCACAGTTCAATGGAGCACTACTATTTTGATTTTGGCTCATGGTGTGCTATGGTTTTCAGGTTAAGTTGCCCCAGTTCCACCTCTCCGAATTTTAAATAATCTTAGTAACATAATCTAACCTCCAAATACACAGTCTACAGTGTTGATCAGGAGTGACTGACTTTTTTTTTTTAATTCATTTCAGATTACTGTAGTATTAGTTTTTAATACAGTATTGTCTTAATTTCCAGGTGGAGGAGCTAATTTTACTACCAAGCCATTGCCATACATTCATAAAGGGTCATGATCGCCCATACTACCTCCGTCACAACAACAACAACAATAATAATAAGAACACTGCAACTCGTACTCGATGTCTACCTTGTTCAAGATCATCGTATCAGTTCATTGAGAGGTAGTGAATGATATTTGTTGCAGCATTAATCTTTTTTAAATATAATCAGTTTTATATAAACATGTAGGACTTGCATATTCTACTTTTAAATTTCAGTGGTATGTCTAAAAATCTCAGCCCATCCTCCTGTTTTGGTAGTACTGTACTTAGAGTAATGATGAGGACCATAGTATATGTACCAACATACAACAAAATTAGAATGTAGAAATCTGAATAATTTGGTTGGACAAACTGGAAAACTATTTTTTGCTTGTGTTGCTTTGACATAAAATTAACCTATCCTAACCTCCCTTGGCCTAATACACAATATCCAAGGCCTAATATAGTACGTGTGTGTGTGCTATACTAGGCCTAGGAATATTTAAGTTTGTGTTTTAGCTTCATTTATTTTAAAAGAATGCCATACTAGTCAGTATACTACTATCTAAAAGATAAGATAACGTACGAATTATGACAATTGCTAAACGTCGCAATAGGTACTATCTAAACAGGAGGATGGGTTGACAATTTCGTACCTCTTGTGTATGGTAATGAATTGTAATTGTAATAAATATAAATAATAAATATAATATAAATAATGTAATTGTTTTTTTAAGAATATTTCTTAAAACTTTAAGAGATAGAATTGTGTTGAGAATATATCTTAAATATGGTTGTACTACGAGATATGTTTGGCATAGAGGACCATTGATAACTTTATTGAGCACCTGTGATTAAACTATCTTTTAGTATGGATTTTGCATTGGAATTGTGATTTATAATTGTCATTAATAATTTAAACATTTCTGTATCACTTGTGTATTATGAGCATTTAAACAAGGAAATTAAAATTTCTATTGACTAGTTATAATTTTTAGTCAAATTATTCTCTTTTTAGTGCCCAGGAATCATTGCAGAGCATCATCAGCAATAGTCGAAATCTGCGTACCCTTACTCTAGGCTGCATCCAAGACTTGACTGATCAAGCAGATATATTTCTTCCATTGCTGGCCCACCACCAGTCAACTTCCATCTCGACCCTTGGTTTGGCCTCAGTCAAGTATGACCCAAATTCTTATGCTCTGCTTGACATCACTCCAGACAATTTTACTGCCTTTACTAACTTGCAGGTGTGTTAATTTAAATTGGTAATGAGTTTTAATGGAATTATTGTCCACAAGAATGGGAAGGAACATTTGCTGTATACAACCACTCATGATGAACATTGTATACCATGTCTTGTGAAGCACTGAAATGCTGCTGTGAATGGTATGCATGTTGTAATGACTGAATGCTGTTGAAATGAACTAGTCTTTTTGTTAATTGCATTGCTATAGTGTGTGAATGATGCAGTGAATGTACAGATAATACAGTTGATCTCCCCCTCCCCCCACCACCCCAGAAAAGTGATAAACGGAGAATGACAATGTATATATTTTTCCACAAATGAACGCTCCACATTTTCAAAAAGTACTGTGTAATAAAATAAACTAATTCTAAGTTAATGCATAATACACTAGTGTATATTTAGTTATTGATATATTTTTTTAATATGGGTCAAATTATAATTTCATATTTACATTTGTTTCTATTATTAGCTGACCTGCATTGCTTAAATATTTTTTTACTTCAGGTTTTAACTTTAGATTATGACTATATGAGTGACCGTCTGCTTAGTGTGTTGTCCTCGCCCTACAACTCTCCAATAAGACGATTAATTCTCCATGTCCATGGAATTGATCAAACCCACCGTGGTACTACTGAATACATGTGGTATCGCTTCAAACAACAACAGTGAGTATTGTAATGTCACATGTTAATGTGAGATAAATTTATGATTTATTTTGTATTGTACAGTGGAATCTCAGTTGACTACTGCCCTCGAGTATGAATTTTTTGATATGTCAAATTCATTGTAAAAATTGAATTGGTGTATGACTGTTTACTTGGAAGGTGACGTCTGTTCGTACGTGTATGGGTCGAATGAGCACATGGTGCTGAGGGCGCGGGACAAGGCACTCTGTTTGTTTACAGTCTATCCTGAGTAATGATGACCGCGGCCGTGCTTGAATTCTTTAAAGGATTTCATTGTTTGCCTGCTTTTGTGCTTTTTTTTTTTAACATAAAAGTTCTTATTATACTTATTATACTATACCATGGGTCCCAAGAAAGTCGGTGGTAAAGTTCAACCTAAACCTTTTGTTGAAAAAGGCTCGCCTAAATCTAGCTGTAGCAGGTCATTGTGTTAACCTTTTTAATGACAATGTGATGTCTCGCTTCAGACAAGTATTACAACATAGGGAAAAAAAAGTGTCGTTAGACAATTTTAGTGAGAAAAAGTGAGCCACACGCAGACTTGCCATTATGACTTACCATTATAATGCTGGTGATGTGAAAAATGAATTTATACTAATCATTATGCAGAATGTAAAAATTTTGCTGAAGTTTTATGAGTCTGTGCAAAGTCTGTGTGATAATTTTGGTGTTTTAATAATTATAGACGTAATAAAGTGGTGACTGAGATTGAACGATGCAAGGGAATATGGTAAGGGACAAGACTGGGTGTAAAAGATTGTAATGAGGGAAAGAATGTTTTTGTTTGTTCTGTGGCACCTCCAACATTTGGAGCCCTAAATAATGGATCCCTCTAAACAATGGACCAAATCCAACCACCAAATTTTCATTCTGAAATTCTGATTGCTATAAAATTCCTTTGGGGTTTGTGGTAAAATCCAAATCATTGGTTCGTCACAAAGTAATTGCCATAAAATCACATGTTATACTTACTTTACAGTTCTATTTTAAGTTTCTGATTTTCATGCAGCTTTTCTTAAACAATACATCCCCCATATAAATTAAGGACATAATGTATACCAATTTTATTATAATGTGCACATTACTTAATTTTTTTTGTATCTTTTTTTTTTTTTATTTGCAGTCCTCAGTGTTCCTTGGTGATAAACTTGATGCACTCGTATGATGGAGTGGAACAGTTAGGGTCTGGTCTACTACATCCCTCCATGCCCCTTACACACTTCAGAGCTTTCTTTTGTGAATGGGTAAGTATAGTTTATTATTCTCTTCTGTACTGCTCTTTATTAATAATATTTATAGTACTATAGTGAATAATAATTATAATTCGTTTTACTGTGGCACTTTCTGGAGTTTTTCATTTCCATCGAGGTAAAAAAAAGCAGGTAAAAATTAATATTCTTGTTTCATATTTTGCATTGCTTTTTTAATTGGAAAAATCTGCTCTTTCCATCCAATAAAAACTTTAATCAGGAATAACTTTAATCAGTAAGTAACATAACAACAATTGAAAATGCTTCCAGTTATGTGGAGTTCCAGTTATCCAAAACTATATTGGTACCCAAATTATCAATGTTCAGGTTAACTGAAGAAAAATTATTCAGTAGTCCCAAGTACCATTTAAAAACTTAAAAACAGGATATGTTTTGGATAATTGCAATTTGGACAATTTTTTTTTCCTCTAATCATCTTGAAGTATTGGATATTCACTACTAGTTTTTATTAAATTTAGGACCAAATCCAAAATATTTTTGGAGATTGTAAAAACATTCAAGCAATAATGTATAGTAAAAATACATTATTTTCATTTGAGTTTGTTAAAATACAGTACAGTACTGTATATACAAATACATACATGTCGTATTGTTTGTGAATATTTGCGACTACGGTGAATCCCAAGTGGTGGTGAGCAATGCCATTATTTAAAGCTTGTATACTATTTTACTTTTAGATAAATGTAGCAGCACTCCGCCTAATGAGCAATTGGTATAGTGAAACACTGCATCACTTGACATTAGTTGACTCATTGGATCACAGTGGTTGGGGAATGCTCACTGAAGGTCGTGATGAAGATCAGGAATCCCCAGACCCACTGGTCATGTTGGCCTGGAAATGTAAACATCTAGAACATCTCTCACTGTTCGGTAAGCTTCATTGCATTTTCATAACACTTCCTATGACAGTATATTCAAACATTTCTAATGTCAGTCTCATCCACCGTAATGAGATATTGGACTGCTTGGCACCCGTGGTTGTTGTAGAATGACCCTTCAAGTGCCCAACACAACCAGAGATGTTCTTGCTAATTATCTTAAAGCTGTGTGTCCAAGTCAGGGAAGTTTTTAAGTACCGCATAAGATTTAAAACTTCTGCAGGTACATGGAGCTCGCATCTGCTTCCTCATACCTCCAGTAAACAGATGCCATTTTGGGGGAAAAAATCAAGGTCATCCGGGCATCTCTCAAAAATCGTGTGAGAGCTTCAGTACTGATAGTGTGATCATGATTAGTGCATGCAGCAACAGCTCGCAGCGCTGACGAGCAGCTCATGCTAACAGTATCGCTTAATAATGCTAAAATAAAAAGTACCGTAACTGTGATTATTTAGTGATAATTGCCATAGAAAATTCTAACTATATAATTAAGATTATATACAAGGTTCAGATAACAGTAAACCCAATGCTGGTTGCAATGCTCATGGCACATAGCTGTGGTTTAGTGCACCTACGTCATGACACAGAACCTCGTGTCCTTGTGGAAAATGATTCTTCATGATTTACTGATCAGGATTCTGATGATAATAATAGCAGTGTTGTGGCTTTGCCTGTTTTCAGTTCTACATTGTGACTTGTTGAGCTTGAAACTGTTGCTCCTTGTTTGTGTTACATCTGACCTTTTGAAGATGACGTCTGTATCAACATCCTCCAAATTGCTCTGCGTTTTAAGAGTTTTGATGAGATCTGCCCTGTCATGCCTGGTTTGCAATGTTAGCCCTGAGGCCCTCAATTGTTCCTGGTACAAGAGTTGACTTGGTTCTGGAATGATTTTTGTTGCCTGGTGTTGTACTTTTCCGAAGCAGTTGCGTCCTTCTGAAGATGAGGTCTCTATCCTAAGATACAATAATCCAAGTGGGGTGCACCAAAGATTTATATAGTTGAATCACCACCTTTTTTTCCTAAGAGTCAAAGGAATGTTTGATTATTCCTAGGGTTTGATTAGTTATTTTTTTTTAAACAGGTGCTCCTACCTTTTGTGCAACATTCAGTGAATGGTGGATTTTGACTCCATGGTTCTTTTCTTCATTAATCTTCTGCATGGTAATGTTATTAATTTGGTAGAAAATGATGCCACAACCCACAGCACAGTAATGTTATTAATGTGGCATGGGTTATGCCCCACATGCAAAATCTTGCATTTTTCTATGCATATTTTTCAGTGCATTTTGATGTATTTTCTGTTGACACATAATGCCATCAGGCCATTGTTTTTTCTTCTGTCCGTCTTGTAACAATGGAAGGTGCTTATATATGATACCTTGTCAGGCCACTTGAGAGGAAGGATAAGCATTGTTAAAATTTTATTGCGGCATAGTTGCTCACGAAATTTAGTACTGTATAGGGAAAATTTTACAATTATGGTTACTGTACTAGAGTTGATTATATTATTTTCCTTTTGTAGTTATAGTTACAAGGAAAAATTACCCCTGTATTGAAGAAATTTCTCGTTAAATTTGATGATCGGTCTCTTATGTGCTTATATTATGCTGAACTTTGGTGACCATATCTGATAGATGTCTTATGTTCAATAATCTAGTCCTTGTTGTCTGATGAAGTAATCTTTGTTGCAGTTTATGGAAGTGGGATTTAGTTAACGTGCACACTAAACATTGATTTATTTCAGATTCACATTGATTATTTCATTACCTACTTCATTTAGGTTACCGAGAATAGTTTTTCTTCTATTGTTAAAGATGTGTACTGTGATTAAACTGTGGTTCAACTGAGCATTTCTTAGGAATGATCTGTTTTTGCCTAGTAGTAATTGTCTGAGAGTAATTTATTATAAAAACTTTAAAAGCCTCCCTAAGGAAACCATTTTGATATCCAACTTTACTGAATTGTGTATAAATTTTATTTAAACTATTTAACCACTGTGGGCTTCATATACACAATGCTCTTTTAAAAAGACCCTTCAAGGGATTCCTGATCTCATAATTCAGGCTGCAAGCAGCCACTTTGAGTAGCCTGGTTGACTAGACCACAACCAGGTGGCCTGTGAGGACGTCGATCCTCGAAATCATCGACAGGTATGCTACAAATATGACATAAGAAGCCTAATTTACCCTGACTCTCGCTCAACTTTAAACATATGATTAATACTATGGGCTGAATTATGCATACACAAAAAAAAAAAAAGGGATTAAACAACAATACTGTACCCCCTGTACCCAAACTTTACTACTTCAACAACACTTCCTCTACACTTTTTCTTTCCCATAAACCCTATGTTCTGTGCAATTTTAGGAAGAATTGCCCGAAACGCTACGCGTACTAGTGGCTTTACAAGAATGTAAAAACTCTTGTATGTAAGAATATTTGTATTTGGGAGATTTGGTTCATGTTTTAGTGATGTTCACATTTCTGTCCCTAGCTCTAGGATTGTTACAGTAGGCTACATATTTTTTACAATATGATAACTTATATGATAACTTGTTTAGGTTATGGATATGGTGGAAGTGACGTTGTAGCCATTGCACGACTCCGTGGCTCAGGCTTGAAGCAATTGTTGATCCCTGAAGATTGTCTCGAGGCAGATGACTCTCATGAACTAGCAAATGAAGAGGATATAAATAATATAGCTGAGGTATGTTTGCATGTATAATATTGCAATTCATAATATATTGTATGCAATGTAAATGGTTTGTTGTTCTAGGTGTGTGTGGCTTTTGAGGTTAGGATTTGTTTTTGCATAATAAGAATTACTATAGTAGCATTGTCTCTTGATTTGAATAAGCATGTTAATTATACAATTTTGTTCTTTTTAAGAAAGTAAAACAAGAAAATTGTTACTGCAAGGAATTTGATATGGTGATACAGTATATTTAAGTAGAATATTAACAGTAATTTTTTGCCTTTGCCCTTTGTCTCTGAAAAGTTAATATTTTTCTGAGAGCTTCCTTGATACAAATTTGTGATAAGGTAAATTTTTTATTCATTTTCTGTTTGTTGCATTTAAAGGTAATCTTGGTTTTTACTGAAAATCTTTAAATGTATATGCTTAAGATGTATTAGTTTTGTTTATAACAGTCTTGATAAATTACCATGCTTATTAATGTATATACAGTACTATACAGTGCTTTGTATTGGAAAGTTTTCTTTTGTGTATTAGTCATAAATTAGGTGGTTTTTTCTATCCTGTTAATTAATATGTACGGTAATTGTCAATTATTTGTTTTATTTAATTTCAGGATGTTTCGGCTGGTTTGGGTAGAACATGGCGTCCATTGACCTTGTCAGACCTTCATCCCTGTGTTCGTACTACGAGTAGTTCCGACACCGACCAGTATATACTCCCAATTGTTCTTGCAGATTCTGTGATAAGTTGAAACCCTCAAAAGCAGTAAGTGAAGTTAAATAGCTTCAAAGTAACATACTTCAAAGGGTAAAGGTAGTTTTTAATTAAAGGTAATGAAAGGTATAAGAGTATATACAGTACATCATTATGAAAATAGGCTAATGTATCTGCAAAATATTTAAAATATACATTAGAATTTATTATAAATATAATTTCGAAATAAATATCGAGTCCTCTATATGGACTTCATCAATATTCATTAAGTTGTATAATGCAAAATAATCAATGATGACATTTTCAAAGAAAATATTGACAAAGACAAATGGTACAAAAACTTGAGTGGTAATCCAGTATAAGAAAGAAATTTCAGGATGGTTGAAGTGTTGATAATGTAAGTGATCCATTACTCAGTCACCAAGATGTATAAAGAAGTATAGTACTTCTCAGTATTTTGCGGAGTTTATTTCCTACGGACAGTTGGTGTAAACACAAAACGTGTGTGTATCACAGTCATTCAATATGTTCCTCTAGGCTTATCCCACTTATGATACCGGTATGAGAGTCAGGCTACTCTAATAATGTCATAATACACCATTTGTCTTTATTGCACATAATCTCATCTAATGCAGTTCTGACTTAATTTATACTGTAGTATAAATACTATTAGTGTTCATCCATAGGCCACTGACATACAAAATACTTAACAGTTGTATTAGGTATTTATTCTCGTGAATATTTTGAGTGCCTGGCTGAGCTAGAAGTTGATTTAAAGCCCCAGAAAGTTACACATCAATCATTTGTAAATAATATCAATAGTTTAGCAGATTATCATGAAACAACTCTACTCAAGTCAATCTGCCATATGCATAAATGGTTTGAGGGAATCTCTTGCATTCACATAAAATGGATGATTTTAAAACTGTGATCCGAGCTATTATAAGGATTTAAAAATTTTATTTGAGCACATTACCCAGTGTATAATAAGTTGATCCTTTCCTTTTCTTTTTTAAGCAATATAAAATTTTATGGAAATACTTGTTAAATTTATCTAATACTGGGGTAAATTGTTCATATAAGTGATAATAAATATAATCACTTTTTTAAGTAGTGCAGTAATTTACCGAGCTGTAATACGCAAGTTTGGCATTTCACTGTTCCAGTGAGATGGCAGAAGGATTAACAACCTAATCTTGCACACCATTAGTCTTTTTAACATTTCCCAAGACTGAATCACTCCATTTTTTTATCAAATGTGTTGTGCAATTCAAAGTTGTGCTTGTTATTAGTCAGGGGTTGAGACTATCAAGACACAGATTTTAGCTAGCATAGAGATGTAGCCAATACTGCATGTGATATTGCCATTTTTTTAAATAAATTAAATGTTGGCCAAATAGTTTAAGAAGGTGATAGAAAAATGATATCTACTACATTCCCCCTGAACACACACACACACACACATGCGCGCACACACACACTCGCACAATATTATTTATTGCTCTGGGGGAAATGACTTGTACACATTTTGTATTTCATAAGAAACAACAATGCACTAATAAGGCTTGTGAAAATAATTGCAACTTATTTTTTTATATATTTTTTTTTGTTGCAAGATATATTTTTCATTTATAGAAAGTGTCAATATTCATGTACAAAGTCCAAGTGTAATATATTTGACAACGATGGGGGAAGCTCTGAATGCATGTTGTGACTATTCCTCACACAGAGCTTAATGTTGAAGCGGTAAATTTGTCCATATATGAATGATTCTGAAGATCCAAATACTGACAAGAAATTGCAGTAAGTCGTGTTTTTGCTAATATATTTTTTACTTGAAGCTAAAAATTCTGCCAAGATTCTACATTCCACATTGAAAAACTTAATAATGAACAAATGTTTTTAGGCTGTTGCTTAGTAATAGATTACTGTAGTTTTTATTTTAAAGATTTTTTTTTTAATTATGAATTGTTTTTCCTGCTAAAATAACAACAAATTAAAGTACTGTACATCATTTACCAGTGATCATTTCTGTAATACATTGGCATACATTCAGTTCTTCAGTGCACATGTTTGGTATATGCAAACATTTCTCCAGCAGGAAGCAATGAAACTGCATTTCTTTTCTTATTTTAAATCTTTGATGCATGTTCTTCTGGGAGCTTCCCATTCTTGTGGAGTTGTCACATGCACTTCCCCAGGTATTTCAGATGCTTTAAAGTGTTAGACTTGAAATACCTGAAACATTTGTCAAAAAATTCTATAACTTTCCTTATATTTAGTTACTGGTAGAATTTAGGTTTGCCTTGTCAACTATTTTAGTCTCCCATTATTTATTTGCAGGATTCAGCTGCATAACTTTCATCTAATCTCCTCAGTTAATGAATATCTTTCCCCCATTTGCACATGGATTCATTTGATAGCAGTCTTTTGCACTGCAGTGTAAAGGTGTCATCAAATGGCCATTTTCTTCCATTGTCAAGCTAATTAACTTTTGACTTTTATCAGTTTGGCATGCATATCATAGTCCTACCTTTTGTAACCACTTTATTTATTTTACCACAAAATTGTGTAATTTAATTTGTATTTTGTAAATGCTATTCTAGTAATCTTTTTCTTGTTTGCCACACCATGGAGTAAGCTTACCTTATTTTGATTAATAAGACTTTACAAATTTTATTTAACTAAATCGACAAGTATAACACTCTTGGAAGAACAAACTGAATGCATCCAACAGGTTATCTATCAGGATTGAGTCATAATAAAACTATTGTCATTTTCAGCCACAATGATAACCCTTTGCAATGGTGTTGATTTCAGGTAAAACTTTAATGTGCTGATTTTGTCCTTGGTCATTTACAAAGGGTAATTACAGAAAATGCCTGCACTTTAATATAGATGGTAATATTGGGAAAATATTTATCTTTTGTACATTGGTTTAACACACTCTCAATTTTTTTTTCTAAGGCAATCTTAAAAGAGGTCTCCCTATTAGGGAATATCTTGGTTATTATTAGTTACTACTTTTTTTTTTTTTTTTTTTTTTTTTTTTTTTTTTTTTTAATTAAGGATTGAGGCCCAGTGCTAAAATGTTATTCATCACTGAAATAAGTTTATTTGGGCAATTTTCATTTGAGCTTCATGAAATGTGTTCAAAATACACAGAAAGAAATTTTCAAACCTAGTTAGGTCTGTTTATTTTAAAGAAGAGTGGTTAGGAATAAAGTGATTAACAGATAATTAAAGAACATAAATTCTTATTACCTACTTCACGTCATTAACATTTTAATATTTGCCGTGATAATCATCCACTAACATAAACAGATGGTAGAGATTTATCTTGTACATTTATAGCGGAAAGCTGCCAAATTTTCTTATTAAGGAACAGGAATTCTACCATTATCATGAGTCTAAATACTAAACTACAAACGTACACGGATATATTAAAGATAGTCGCTTATATAATATGGTAACTGGAGAAAATAATAGGGAATAATTAGGAACTGTGGAGTAAAATATTTAGGATAATAGGAACACTTTTGCTTGAAGGAGTTTATTATTTCAAGAGTATATAATTCTATACAACATAAATGTAGTTAAAGTAAAATTACTACTTAGAATAAAAAGGATAAAAAGAAAGGATTTCCTCCAGCCATCATTTAGCTCTGGTAGTACTGTAGGTCTGTAGCTGGGTCAGTGTGTTTATATATGAACTTCCTTTGCTTGTACTATTATAGGTAACTTTAGTGTTTTATTGGCAGAAAATTGGACTATAAACATTTTTTCTATATTGTTACATAATTTTTTTATACAAAATAACTTTGCTGAAGTTATAGTAAAGCAAGTTTCAAATTCGAATACAAACTTGTATGATATCGGCAAAAGCAGTTAAAAAACAAATTGCTGTGAAAGTATCATCTTTATTGATGAGTAAGAAATGTTGAAAAGATGATCGGTAAATGTTGATATGAGTTTTGTATTTTAATTATAAATGATTGAATGCTGGATATTAGCACACTTAGTATTTATTTTCATAACCATATAAATTGGGTAATGATTCTTTTAGTTAAATAAAGCACATTATATAGCTAACAATGAAATCTTTGTTAAGCTTGATTTTGTTATAACATTGCTTATTAGGAAAATATGGAAGATTTACTTAAGCACACATTAGTTATTTTTAGCATTATCTATGTAAATGGAAGATAATCAATACATCTACACTACCTTGTCATCTATATTGAATACCTTTAATGTTTTATGAAGAATTTGTAACGAAACAAAGTAAAAGTGAGAAGGTAAACAGTGACTAATAATGAAGTTTTGGGAAGATAAAAAAAAATAAAATAGGCAATTGTGTTCTATAAAATTTTCTTACATATATGGGATGAAAGTATTTAGACATTTTAATAAAATCAAGAAAAATATTTTAACTGGTCAGAATATCCATCATTAAATACACGTATAGGAAACAGAGTATGTGAAAAGGTTTTGTTTAAAAATGTGTACAGTAAAATGGAAATCTTAATACAGTGCATTAGTATGTGGTATGTATTTTGTCATTTGCAAATCGGTTTATAATTCTTTGGCTCTTGTGCAAATGAGGTTGTCATCGGCTGTTTAAGCTTCAGGATTTGACATTACTAATTAATAAAGTGTGGTGTTGTCTTAATCAGTCTGCACTAGATAAAAGAAAAGTTTAGTGGATTAATAAAAGTAAATTAATGGAATGAAGAATGCAAAAACTCTCAATTGAAAGATAAGATTAATAGAGGCCAATGTGGAATTTAAAAATGCTTGGCAGATAATATAACAATGCTGTGGTAAAATTAAATCCATAGGAAATGGTAATCGGTGGGGTGGGGAACAGATTCTTCTTTGCTTAGGTAATCATAATTTTCAGTACAATACTTTAGTAACTTTTTTTCCCCATAATTTAACTGGAAAAAGCTTTGTAATACATCTTGAAGAAACCACTTGTAAGATTTCTCTTGAATGCCAAAATTACCAGCAGTTTCAAAATGTTTTATGACGTAGGAAAAATGGGGAAACGACGAATGTAGTTTTCATCCTGTAACTACACTTTGGTAATTACATCTGAGTAATTACAGTTCATGCACACACAAAACTACACAGCAATCAGATAAGAGGCAAAAAGAAATTTTGAGAAAGAGATAGCAGACAAATGTGAAACTGAACCCAGTCTATTACTGTATATAAATTCATAAAATGCAAATTGCAAGTAAAAGATGAAATCCAGAGATTAACACTTTCGCGCACCCCGCCCGCCACCCCTCAACTGTGCGATATGGGACCTAGGGTGTCACGGGAGCGCGCGTAAATTCTGAAAAGTGTATACTCTCGTCAACTTTGTCACCTTAATTCTCGTCCTACGAGATTAAATAGCTGTATCATTGTGTTCGCAATAGAATTCTCTACAGCACTAAATGCATATAAACTCCAAAAGCCCGGCTAATTACCCGCAGCAAACAGAGAAAGTGCGAACGAGTTTCCCAGGAGCGCGCAAACGCGATAAAATGTTTTCACTATTTTCACTCTGGTCACCTCAATTTTTGTCCTAGGTCTTTCATTTTGGTCTCAATGGGTTCGCAATAGAATTCTCTATAGGAACATTAGCATATAAAATAAAAAACATGGTCATGCTCCAACCGCCGACGAGTTGAAGACGGGCCACGCGTTAGCCGCAAGTGAGTGCTCAGATGCCCTCCAGCTACACTCCCAATTCCCGCCCTTTTCAAGCCTTTCTTTCGCAATTTTCTTCCTGGAAGGGTTTTGTTCATGATCACTATCCATCGTGGAGTAAGCGTAGATAGTTTCTAAAGCCGCAGTAAGAAATATAGCCACGGAAAATAGCCAAAATGTTCACACGTTTGAGATGCGAGGGGAGGCAACATTGGTCACAACAGTGGAGCGAAAACAATGGGCCCACGGCGTGTGCCAAGCCGCCTGAGGGCCACGAGGCTCAACAAAGAAAATGGGAAGACATCGGCGCGCATTTTAAAACCAGTCCCCCAAAAATCGGATAAAAACCTGATTTTTGGCGATTATTTAAAGTGGATGACGCAATGCTGCGTCATCCCCGGTATTACCACCAGAAAACGGATGACGCAATGCTGCGTCATGCCCGGGCGAAAGTGTTAAGAATGGAAATCAGACTGAAAAGCAAATGTGTAAACAAGTTTTTTCAGAAAATGATACATAATACAGACGTAAGAGTACAATATAGAGTACCTAAATGAGTCTTGAAGTTGAGGAAGGGAAACTGCTCAAGGAGCTAGGCAGAAACCTTGGATACCAAGGGACTGCGCACACAACTTTTACCATTCTACTGCAAATTATTTTTCCAAATTTCCTTACAGGGAACCTAACAGATAATGGGAAATGGGATAAATCTAATCTACAATAATGATAAGAGAAGAAAGATCCTTGTAAATCGGTGGTTCTTAATCTTTTGCCTCGTTTCTCCTTTTCCAACCACATTCTCATCTATGACTCGCAACAATTTTGGTCTCGCCTGTTAACTCCTCTCGGCAAAAGAACTCGAGCCAGCAAAATTGACAGTATCTGTTGTTGCAACAAATGCAAACATTGTGAGCTGTGCATTTTTTATTCTTGGTTTACACCATGTAAATAATAATGGGTAACTTCCAGTGAAACACACTCATCAGTGTTTATTTTGTTAATAGTACGATTAGTCCCAAGGATCCCAGTTGAGAACCACTGTTCTAAATTATAAACATGTATCAATAACAAGCATAGTAGTCCAGTCACTAGAAAATTTGAAACCAAATGGGTAGAATACTGTACATGGAAAGAAATGACATAACAGGCAGATCGTATGGCTTTTGAATAGAATTTTCAAAAGCCATTGTAACTAATCCACTTACAAGGGCCGTGATGAGGCTTCAAACCTATGTCCGGGAAGAACCAAAATGCGCCTTAGTTGATTGCGCCACAACATGGTTAAAAAAAATTGCAACCTAGAGTGCTACTTGACCTCACGAGGCTCCTGCAGCTTCTCCGAAGCACAAACCGGGGTTTTACACAATTCCCCCATGCACCCAAGCTCTGTCAACCAAATGTTCTACCTCTTCATTTGATATATCACACTACAGTATTGTGATTTCTGTGTGTAATCTACTTGGCTTAATGATAGAGCAACAGGGATCTTACAAGAAAGAGATGGTTATGTTGACTGCATCCATCTGCACTTGAATAATAATAATAATAATAATAAAACTTTGACAGAAGAGGCTGTTTTGGAAGCTAGAAAATACGGGAAGGAGTAGCAGATTACTGAATGGGTGAAAAATGAGGGCAGTAATTAGAAACCATGTGTCAGACTGAAGAAATGTTACTTGCAGAATACCACAAGCTTCAGTACTAGCACCAGTAATGTTCACTGTTTACAAAGATGATCTTCCAGAGTTGGGCCCCTCAAAATTGGAGTATGCAGCAGTTGTGTGGTGTCCACATCTTGAGAAATAAGACAGTAAACTAGAATGCAAAGACACTATTAAATGCCTTCCATAACTTAAGGTGAGTGGGAGGGGGTAGCAGAGAAAGCTATGAGTATATGCACTAATTATGCTATAGGTAGAAGATGAAAGGAAAAAGTGAGATATGATCACCATGTATAAAATAGTAACAAGAATTAACACAATTGGTAAGGAGGAATAATTAAACCTATAATAGTGCTGGAAAAAAATGAAGTTTTTTGTGCATAGTTTGCCAATTGGAACAAAATAAGGGAGAAAGTGGCAGATGCCAAAAATCATCATTGTTTAACTATGAACACTCTTCAGTATCAGGTGGGTACGCGGGAGTAAAACCTCTGCATCTCGAGGAGATATCTAACCCAGCTCTTAGCGAAATTGCCAAGACACTACTGTCGCAGATCATGAAACTTGTCAATAACGGCCCATCTGGACAAATTCCACATAATTAAACCTCTCTTTTGGGCATCCCTTTATGCCATAAAGAAGGATGGTGGAGTTACACCTATTGCTGTGGGTAACTCATTTTACTGCATCATTGCCAGAGCAACTGTCTGAAACATCCATACTGCAGCTGCTATGAACTACATCAATTCAGTTTTGTTTCCCCATAGCAATAAAGCAACAGCTTATGCAACACGAGCCTATATTAATCACCTCCCAGGAAATAAGGCAGTAATTAAGGTGTCCCTGCCCAAAACCTGCCCCTCCCCCCCCCTCACAGAGGTGCAGGAAGCTTGGGATTCATGATTACCATCATTGAAAAAGCAGACCCCATAAAAGAAGCAAAACAAAACAGACAACTGCAAGGTTCACAGAAAATATACAAACAATCCAGCAAACAACTTGGAAAACAGTCCACCCAGTAATTAGGTAACACCCAAGTTACAGGTGCCCACCACCAGATGGCAGTACCATGGGTGCTACCAGCTCCCCATTTAGACCATGATCAGTCCTTCACCTGATGTCAGACAAGTCGACCAGTTCTTTGAGTCACAAGCTCTTTGGGTTCCAGGCTTATAATCGTCCCCAGTGTTCCCAGTGGACATGGTTTTGTCTGTCTGGGATTCTCAGTAGACTTTATGGGTTTGGTCTCTGCATAGTTTATGGTTTTATGAATGGTGCACACCCAATATCCACATGCATGTTGGGTGTGCCCAATATACCTGTGGATGGTTTCTCATATTTCCGTCCCATTTCCACAGAGTGGACTGTTCATGGAGTGAGTTGTCGACCATGTCCTTATGTTAGCTCTGCAAAGTGTTCAGTCTCCCCAAGTTGGATCTCTTTACATCGGTTTGAAATTGGCAGCTTTCACCCTGCATGGTTCTGTTCCCTGATCACGAGGCTCTTGCGGTGGATGCCTTGTGGCTGGATTGCTTGGGGGTGGGGGGTTCCCTCTATCTCTTCCCTCCAGTTCAGCTGTTGCTTCAGGTGTGGTCAAGACAGGAGCCTTACTGGCAGTAGTTATGACCTAATGACTGGGTGGATTGTTTGCTGAATTGTTTGTTTGTCATCTATGAATCCTGCAGTTGCTTGTTTTGCTTCACATTCTTTTTTTATTTCTTTGTCAAGTGTCATCATGGATGCCCTGCTCCCCGCTGATGTGGCTTATATGTATAATTATCTCAGTACAGCTAGTATCAGGGAGCCATGAAAGTCCCCTTCCCCCCATCCCAGAAAGAGGTTATTTATTACATTCAATGCTGGTTTTTTGTTCTGATATTGGCATAGTGTGATACTGTATTTAGGACCCTTTTCATATCCGGCAACAAAGGCAGTGCAAATAGTCTTCCTGGTTTGGTGCCTTGTTTTAATTATTACATACTTTGTTGGGGGATCCAAAAACCAAGTTGCTTAGGTTTCAGCATGTTGGCTACACCCTGGCTAACTTTCCTTGTAGCAAAGTATGGCAACCATGGTGACGAAGCACTGTAAATAATTGGCAACAGCAATGGGCTTGAATTCCTCATCCATCTTATTAAGAGCACAGAGGGATGTACCTAACAGATAGGCCTAATGGCCCAAGCACACATTGGCTAATATTGTTACTTCTAAAAGGAGGCGTTACTCAACATCACTAAGTGCAGGCATCTTAGTCTTGTGAAACCAACTGCTG